CTAATTAGCACTAAAGTATAGCTAAGGCTATTGGAATTATTGGTCGTTAGATTTTCCGAGTGTTGTTAACCAAAGTATCAGAACTACACCTGATGGCACTGTCATGTTTATGTTGTTGAAAAATAAAAGAGTATTTATTGAAAAAAGGGAGCAGGGCATTTGAGATGGAGATGGAAGGAGCTGAGGAGTCACAGGGTAAGGCAGAGGGCAGTGAGCAGTGGCTGAAGGAGACCAAGCGTGGCTGACTATAGCTGGCTTGAAGAGGCAGGCTGACAGTGGGCAGGCAGGCTTTTGAGCATGGTCCTGGAGCACAAGGAGACCAGGGTTAGGCAGATAAAACCCACAAGGAACCAAGCAAAGAGATACTTCTACATAACATTTAAAGCGGCCTGAGCGCACACTACCACAGCAGCTGACTGAACAATCTGACGATGAGTGGGTGAAGAGCCGGTGTAGATATACTGCGATGTAGATGAGGTGCTGAGGTTCAGGTGTGCTTGATTAGCAGACTGGGAGCCCGGGGAGGGAGAGTGCAGATCCCCACACCCACACAGACAGACAAGAGACACGAGGGAGGCAAGGGAAGGGAAAACAGACACAAACTAAACAGTTAAGGGATGACCAAGTTATTACAATTCATCAACATGTATGTGGGAGCTAAATTTCATAGCAATCAATCAAATTACTGTCACGACATTAACTCAAAACCACAAGTCAAGTTGCAGGCGCTAGAGGAAAAGTAAGAAGTGTATTAAATTCATTAGGATCTATTGTTTGGGCACCATGAATATCTATATCAAATTTTGTGGCAATCCATCCAGTAGTGATAGAAAGGTTTCAGTCTGGACCAAAGTGGTAGAGAGCGACTTAGCAACCTACAGACTGACGCTGCCATCCATAGCACTATACCATTAGCATGGCTAACTAAATTGTCATCTCAGACCTTGTAAATGCTACATTTTATTAACTATCAGGTGTAATTACTGTGTCTATATTATGTTTTTTTATTATATAAAAAGTACAATAATTAATACAATAATCACATCTCAAATTCCTAGTAAACACTAGGGATTAAAATATAAATCTGAATTAAAACTTAAATCATTTTTGAATGCATGATATGATCTTTGAGATGCAGTTCTCTCCTTGTTTGATATACACCGATCAGCCATAACATTATGACCACATGGGCACCCTGGCTGCTTAAACCACAGCAGCAGGTCTTGCAAAATTGTTTTAACTTTAAGTTTTAAGACTAAAACACGCAGAACGTACTTTGAGAAATGAGTGGGTCAGCACACCAAGCTGTAGCATCATGTCCTTACAGCAGGTTCACATTCAAAATGGAGTGAGGTCATGCTAGTACAAATATGACATGTAACAAACTGTAATTACAAACAAACAAAATCCAGCACCACAGTCACGGCTATAAATAGCCTCAAAAAGTACAGCGCTGAAGCTGTCGCCTGAAACTTGACATTATCCATTTATTTTTCTTTTCTTTTTAAATTGTTCTGTTTTGCGTCAAATGACTATCACCCAATTATCTTTTGGCAGCATGACATTACCTTGGAGATTCATGGGACGGGGGAAGGAGATGGGGGAAAAAGAAAATCAATGCCACATCTTAAATGTCTGAAGTGTACCGTAGGGCTCATTGATTTATGGCCACTGCCAACAATATCTATCTATCTATCTGTCTGTCTGTCTGTCTGTGGACAGGTGTACATCTTAATGTCTGTGTGTTGTTATGTTTTCATTCTTTAAGCTCCCAGTCTACAGTGTCTCTCTGTGTGTGTGTGTGTGTGTGTGTGTGTGTGTGTGTGTGTGAGACTGCCCTGGTCATGTGGTCAGCTTTTTCTGAGAATGGAGCGAGCAAGAGCCACTACTGTAATTGGCTCTCTGTCTGTGGCTGGAAGTCTTAGATAGAAAACAGCCCAACACACACACACACACACACACACAGAGGGATAAAAGTTAAAGGCAAACCTTTTTTTCCCTCTTTCGCCATCTCTCCCCTCTCTCTCTTAATGTGTTTAAGTCATTTCAGGCCAGAAGTTCTGCCACATAGTTAGTCATTTCCTTCTAGTCTTTCAGGTGACTGGTTGCTTTGTGCTCCAGGTGGAATTGGGGCCTTATCAGCGGCAGGGCAGGAGCCCAGTGGCCACATCACACAGAATACAGCATTTCCTCCAACCGCATGACTGCCTCACATGATTAAACCCAATCTGACCGGCTGTTGTCTGTGTGTCTGTACTGTATTCGTGTGGTGTGTGTGTGTGTGTGTGTGTGTGTGTGTGTGTGTGTGTGTGTGTGTGTGTGTGTGTGTGTGTGTGTGTGTGTGTATGTGTATGTGTGAGGGAAGGAGGGAGAGAAAGAGAGAGAGAGAGAGCTTGCAAATGTTACATTTGAGTCCAGAGGAGGATGATGAAGAATTCCACTGACGTGCATTTGTTTCTGATCGCAGTGTGTTTGAGTGTGTGCAGTGGGGGCATGTAGGTAGATTCTGTAAAAAGGCTTTCACTGCTTCAAAGTTCCTGGCTAAAGCTGTGGCAGTCGCCGTTCACATTTGAATTCCAGTGCATCCCACTTTAAAAAATGAGTACCGGATCCTCCTATATTTCACATTATGCCTTTGTACCAGACTGCCGCAGGCTTGCAGGACAAAAGGACCAACAATGCCCATGTGGGTACAAACATAACCTCCTCCTTTAAAGAACATTGTGTTTCTATCCTCTGTGCCCTAAATGACTGTGAATGGTTCAACATGTTTTTTTTTAAACAAGCTTTGGATGAATAAAAAAAGACGAAAAGAAAGGAAAGAGAAGAAATCAATGTTTGTCTCTCTTCAGATAAATGCATGGAGCCAGGCAGTGTAAGGCGGTAAGAGGGTAATCTGTGAAACAACAATACCGTGGGCTGACAGGAGACGCAGTAATCTAGGCTGGACCAGCACTATCCTTAAACAGAGTGTTCTGTGTCTGAAAGATTACACTATAAGCTCTGACACCATAATGGTCCTGACACACATACACACACACTCACAGAATTGCTTCTGCCTGCCTGAAGCTTCTGTAAGGGTACCCCTATTCACAATGTAGCCTTTAGTAGGAGCCTTGCTGGCAGGACGCATCGATAGGAATCTGATTGAGGCCTGCTGCCAACAATGAGAAGAGAGGTGGGGCGTGATTGACACTGAAAAATAAATGAGATGCACTGTGAGGAATCGATGACAGAGGTGTTTCTTCTGTTTGTCCATGCATTCATTTGTTTGTTATTCCTGTGAATGAATGTCTAGGCAAATACTTTTTTTTATTTTACTGCAGATTAACTGACTCAAGAGTCACATTTTTAAGCATGATTTTTCTCTTTTTCTTTTTTCTTTTTCTTCCTGTCTTTATTTTCAGTTATTCTCTCGCCTCTTTTTACCTGTAGTTTCAGAGTACAGAATGAGTTTATAAATGTATTACTGTGAGCATAAAATTAAGAAAAGGACAAACATGAGGACAAAAAAAATAGGAAGCTTTACTTTTTAATTTTATGCAAAGATAGCAAAAGGCCAGGACCAAGCAGAGATGTATAAAGAGGAAGAAGAACAAACTACAGGTATATTAACATTCAGCGTGGTCTGTATGTAGCCTTTATGTTTAACAGACATGATGGATGCATTTCCTTCCTCCATAAAACATCTGCAGAGCTGCATCCAAGTCTTGAAGTCTTCTTCTAACTTGTCTGTTGGCACATTACTAAGCTTCTTTGTGTGTTTCTGTCACTGGTGGAATAGCAAGAAACCATTAGCAAGGATGTGTGTCAAATTGCCCACGTGCTCACGCATCTGCCCAATGCAAACAAAACCACCTGTAAAAACATTAATCCTTTGTGCTACTAGTGGTGAAAAATTCCACAGGATACCTTTAAATTTGCAATCTGATTGAATACAAAGCAAGCTTTTGCCTTTACTTTGTTTGCACAATTTTTCCTACAGGATTGTTTGTGCAGTCTGTGTTTATTCACCCTAAACATATCATGTGTTGTACTGATTTTAACTTTGTAAGCAATGTACACACCAACAGTGTACATGTATAAAGTACACCAATCAGCCACAACATTATGACCACCAGAGTGGCCATACGCAACAAACTGCGATGCACTGTGTGTTCTGACACCTTTCTATCAGAACCAGCATTAACCTTTTCAGCAGTTTGAGCTACAGTAGCTCGTCTGTTGGATCGGACCACACAGGCCAGCCTTGTGCATTAGTGAGACTTGGCCGCCCATGACCCGGTCTCCTGTTCACAGCTTTTCCTTCCTTGGAGGATTTTTGATAGGTACTGACCACTGCAGACCGGGAACAACCCACACGAGCTGGAGTTTTGGAGATGCTCTGACCCAGTCGTCTAGCCATCACAATTTGGCCCTTGTCAAAATCGCTCATATCCTCTCGCTGCCTATTTCTAACACATCAACTTGAGGATGAAAATGTGCACTTGCTGCCTAATATATCCCACCCACTGACAGGTGCCATGATAAATCAGAGATAATCAGTGTTATTAACTTCATCTGTCAGTGGTCATAATATTATGGCTGATCGGTGTAAATCTGTGTGCATCCGTGGGGAAACTAAAAGGCACTGTTTGACTACAAAACTCACCAGGAACTTCCTCTTGTCTCTGTACGTTCATGAAATAGAGTCACGCACCTTATGAAATATTTTTAACTTAAGGTTTAAACATTACAATCCCAGGCAGACACCTTTGCCTTAATTCATGTCTGATTGGTGTCTCTCTATCGACTGAATATGCCTCTAAAGGGATTGCCTCTGAAATTCACTTCACATTCAGTCTGAACACACCTTCAGAGTTAGCAAAATCAGCTCCTAATGGAAAGTCTTCATCTATGTCTGCCTCTCTGTCTCCTCTCTGTCTGAGTCCAGTCTGATTTGTTCTGTGTCCTCAGTTCTTCTTGTTCACTAATGGTAATTTGTCTGTCTGTCTCTTCAGTTTGAGGCATATGTGAATGAGGGCTCGACGGGTGTGGTGGTCAACCTGACAGTAGACGACAGAGACGACCCAGACACGGGAGCGGGGAGAGCTATCTACTCTATAATTGACGGTGATCCCACACAGAGCTTTGAGATCCAGACCAACCCAGATAATAACGAGGGAATGCTCTCTGTTGTCAAGGTAAAGTATATGCCACATGCATTCATATACTGCAGTAGGTAACATAGTCCCTTCTCTTACCTGCCCATTCATTTTTCCCATTCAGCCTCTGGACTATGAGGCCATGTCACTCCACACACTATTCATCAAAGTAGAGAACGAGGATCCTCTGGTTCCTGATGTTGGCTATGGCCCCAGCTCTACAGCCACTGTCCACGTCAAAATCCTCGACATCAACGAGGGCCCTGTCTTCTTTCCCGACCCACTGAAAGTCACCCGGATGGAAAACATTCCTTTGGGCAGCTTCGTGGCCTCACTCAATGCTACGGATCCAGACATCAAACAGACACAGAGCATCAGGTAAGGAGCTTTGGGTAAAATTATGTGGAAAAGAGAGTCAAAGTACGAATAATTGAAATCGAGCTGCAAAACTGTGCTTGTCTTGTGTATAAGAAAACGGGAAGATAAAAAGAATGGGAGAGAGCTGAATGAATGTCATCTGCTATAGCCCGCGGCTCAGAATTGTCAGTAATGAGCTTTCTGATATTCATTTCATTCAGTTTCACTCTGTTCAGTTGAGCAACATAATCAAGTATCGTTTGTTAATAGGACTCTTTGAGCAGCGGTTGAAGTTTTCTTTCATATAAGGGCACCTTCTCACCTCTCTCGTGTTTGTGAGCCCTCATCACTCCATCTTTTTATCCCTCTCATCTGATTCACATCTCTTCCATTCCCTAACTCCAATGTTATCTCTGCCTGTTAGGATGCTTTATCTGTCTTTGTTGTGTAAACAGACGAAAGATATTGTCCGGACAATCTGCAATTTACTGGCACAGGTCAAACCATTCACCCCAGTCAGCTGAAAAGTCACAGAGTGGGGCAGCTCATTAACTTTAAGTCTGTTACAGAAAAAGCCCTCCCCATATCACCATCATCATAACAGGAAGGCTATTAGTTTCACTATGTGCTACAATAAAAAAATATTCCTCTTGCTGCCAGAGGGAGCCCCATAGTGTGCTGCACTTCCTTTTACAAGATGGAAAACTCATCATTGCATTTATTGGCTTTCAGGCCTAATTTATACTCAATTTAGATTGCTCTTTTTCTGCTCCCTTGGAGTTATATATCATGTAAAAAGTAGTGTTAAGTAAACACATGGGGATAATAATGACTCAGGGAAATAAAACTCACCAGATCGTGACTTAACTGCTCAAATTATTGATGCTGCTTTATGTGCTGTAAAACGTAGTCACTGTGTCAGTAATTCTACGTAGCGTGGAGTTGTTCCACCGAATGTTATGTAGGAGTCAGGACCTATGCTCATAAAGCTTTCATCAGTGGTGGTCTGAACTCACCAGTCAGGTCACATGACCAGTTTATGACATGACTTCTAAATTTGTATACATTTTGATCAGTAATACGAAGATGCTACTAGATAACTTAGTTAATTTTCAGTTTTGTAAAGTGGAAGTAAACAATAGCACAGATAATGGCAAACCAACTGCAACTATGTAGCATTTCATGATTTTCCCAAAAATCACACTTATCTGAGAGATGGGTAACGACTATCTGACGGCTGGAGCCTAATTACAATAGTGAATTGTTCTCCAGTTGTGAAATTATTCCGGCTCTACACGCTGTTCTGATCACGACCTCCCTCTAGCTCCTCTTCCAATATTTTCACAACTAACTTGGTAATTAAGGGTTTGTTTGGGCCAAACCAGAGTGGACAACAGTGGAAAGAATAACTCAGGTTTTGGTGAGTTTTCTTTTCTTTTTGTTTGAATGAAGTGTTACAATGTTACAAGGTAGAATTATTGTTTTTGTCAATGTAGCCTAGTGGCTTTGAACACAGCGATATAACTGTTGTTTCAGGTGAAACAAAAAGGATCTTATCCTTTCACAAAAGGTCCTTTCCATAATGTTGTCAGACACTTCTGACTACAATCTAATCCTACCAGTGGCAAAAACAAGCACTTTTAGTGGACGTACATTGATGGTGCACAATTGTCCATAACGATTACATTGCAGCTGCCCCGATGCTGTGCTTTCACTCAATGCTGGACCAATGTCAAAAACTGTTGTCCCCATTAGTCGTTCGGACACAAAAATAATGGAAAATAGGGTCCAGGTTGAAAAATACAGTAGTTACCATTCCAGGCATCACCAAAGTTATTACAGTTTACAATGTATACTTTTGAGGGCAACATTACTGTGTGTACCAGGTGTAATGGCAATCCATGCAATAGTTGGTGCTAGTCAACAGTGGATTCATTTAACTCTATACACCAGAAACCACAGTGGCGATGGGGGTAAAGTTGGTAGATCAGAAAAAAGTAATTAGGATTCATCCTCTGTGCATTACAGATATGATATCTTTACCAAATTTCATGGCAATCCATGCAATGGTTGTAGATGTGTTACACTGGCATTTCCATCCTTAAAGCCATATTGCACACTTGACTAAAAATGCTGTAGGCTTAGGGATCATAGATCAGTAGAAACATAGCTTAATTTTAAATTGATATAATTCAGTCAACTGAGTGACGGAAACCTCAGCAAACAAGGTTTTCACCAAACCAGATATGAAGTAAAAGACACTGTTTTCTTCTTTCTCTACATTTAGTCGTCACTGCCTTTTATCTGCTTGTCCTTCAGCAGCATGGTCTTCAGTAACCCGTTTACTGTTGCTCATAAGAACTCCCCGCTGACGCAAAACTCAGGTTTCAATGTTATGTTGTCAATGAACAGCATACATTTGAGGTTAGAGAAGGTTAAATACTTTGTACAAACACATCATTTTTAAACAACTGGATTTTTAAGCTATATTAATCACTGAAAAGCCATCTGCAAAGATTTTGGTAGTGTTTCATCTATCTAAGGCCTGTGTTTTTGACATCTTCTTTGCATCTTTGACTGATCTTCCCGGGCATATATCTACATCTTTCTAACTTTATCCTTCCTGCTCTGCTTCTCTCATCTTCTGCATACACTTCTGTATTTATTTCATGGCGCCAGTGTGTGTTGTCATTTCATCCTCTGACATGTTGCCAGTAACAGTGACTTTAAAGTGTCATGACTGTAAGCTGCAGACAGGTTGAGGACATTGTGAAAGACAGACAGTTGGAGAGGTGGAAATAGGGAGAGAGCATGCACAGAATGAAAAAAAAGAAGAGATCTGTTTACCTTCCTCTCTCCTTCCCTGTCTCTCTCTGCAGAACTGTGCAGGTTTGTTTGTTTTGTGTGTGTGTGTGTGTGTGTGTGTGTGTGTGTGTGTGTGTGTGTGTGTGTGTCAGTGTATCTGCCCCCTGGGATGCGTAGGTCAAATGCATTTGACATGGAACACAATCGGTGTGACTCGCTGCTCAGAGTCAGTAGCACACAGTGCCCAGCACACACGCGGATGATTGTATGTGTATATTTGTGAGGACTACATCAGTTCTTTCACCATTAACTTGTGGACCAAAATGTTGACATTGGGAGGAATAATGCACATGCCTACTTTACATTTTACATAACAGTCTGGTCTGTGCACTTTTCAGCAAGAAACAGCATGTGGAGGAGCAAGAGGACACAAAGTAGCCAGCAGATTTGTTTAAGCAACTCAATTTATGAAACATTTGCATTACATTGAGCAGTTAAGCCCTATTTCCACAGTACTATTGTTACTTGGGGTCCTCTGTGATTTATAATAATTGCAGAGGTCATCTGTGTCCTTAAACCTGTGCAAATCTGCCATGTGTGACATTTCTGGACAGCAGCTCGACCCAAAGGCGAACAAGGCCCCTATTCAGGAAGGATTAGAATTCCAATGGGAGATGGGTAATAAAATATTTTCTCTGCTGCAGGTGGCATTTTAGCCAATGTGAAATTATAGGAGGTGGTTTCTCAGATATTCTACAGAAAATTAAACTCCGTAAAAGGAAATGCAGGTCTTCTCACACAAACACAGATACACTAAGAGATCCACAATTTGCATCACCACAGTTTTCTGTGGATGTTTTTTTTCTAGTGCAAGACAATGTATGGAAGGGCCACAGTTACATAAGGGGCATGGCTTGGTGAATATGGCGGCATGACTAGAAAAAGTTGTAAAAGCAAACATTTTAATAATATTTTTGCATTTTAAAGGAAGACAAAAGGGAGGAATTTTAATGGACAAAACCTCAAATTAAACAGGGATAACCTGCTAATTAGTTAGCTACAATGTGCTGGTAGGCGGCTTTTGTTACCTATGGACACAGCTAGGCTAGCTGTTTCATTGTTTTCAGTCTTTATGCTAAGGTAAGTTAACCAGCTGTTGGCTGTAGCTTCATATTGAACAGATATTGTTCTAAATCTCTGCAAGAAATCAAATATGTTTGTTATTGTTGTTATTATTAAATGTAAAACTACTCCTTTAAGGATAGAGATAAATTGGCGCTATTCAGAAAATCTGACTTTGTTTGTAGATACAAACAGGGATGTGATTAGCAAAGACCATTTTGTCAAGTTAGCAACAAATATTCACTCATATTTTAAGCACTGCCAGCAAAGACTACAAAGTGTATTGCCTCATTTAGTCTGTAAAGCAGCAAAGTCAACTGTAAAACATTTACTTTTTTGTGTCCTTGGTTTATAACTGATTTAAATCATAGATATTTAAACACTCCTAAATGGAGCAGGGCCACCGTTAATGTTGTCTGTTACACCTTTTCCTGCTATCAAGAGTCAAATTGCCTACCATACAAAAGGTCAAGGAGTCAGCATCATAATAGGCCTTTTTCACAGCAGTCATTTTGACATGAAATAGTAGGGTAAACACGGGTGTTACCAATGATACGAATTAAGGTTACATTTCGGTCAAACAAAGCCATGATGCTGTTGTGCATGTGGGCTCACTGAAAAGGCTCACACTAAATGGACCAGAGCCTTAGTTACCTGTGTTTACCCTACTATTTCATGTCAAAATGGCTGCTGTGAAAAAGGTGTGAAGAAGGCATATGACAGGCAATAACAAACAGGGAAGGCAACTTGAATACTAGGAACAAAATGTCAGATGATGTGAGAATGATGTTGTTGTTTGTACTGAAATGCTAATTAGGTGATGTAAGACAGGGGTGCAGGCAGGTGGTGGTCACAGCAGCAATCAGGTGACACACAGCGGCAGGAGGCTCAATGAGGACATCTAGAGGGCATGTGCACGAACAAAAAGGGAGAAAGTGGCGAAACGGGAGTCACTAAGATTGAACTACCTAATGAGTGCAGTTTCAGCCTTCATATGTGTTTGACACAGGAAGGCAGAATTAAGATCAAGCCTTAAGACAACTTACAACGTCAACATTAATGGTAATCTTAATTGGAGGTCTAATCACTCAAAT